TAGACATCTTCAATGTGAAGAGGATCATGAAGGAATATCGCCGAGACCAGAGGAGCATCCCCGAGCCCCTCACGCCTGGGGGCAACGGCAAGGATATTTCGGGCAATGTGGTGTGGACAGCAGTTGCCATGTAAGGATTGTAGTTTTAGTTTTTTTCAGAAGTGATTTGAAGATTTGGTTGCTCAATCGCTTGCTTGCTCTCTCTCTCTCTCTCTCTCTCTCTCTCTCTCTCTCTCTCTCTCTCTCTCTCTCTCTCTCTCTCTCTCTCTCTCTCTCTCTCTCTGTTTTTCTTTTTTTCTTTCTTTTTCTTTTTCTTTTTCTTTTTCTCTTTATCTCTCCAGTTTTCTTCTCTTCCATTATTTTCCGTACAACTCTTATCTCTCTAATCACTAGTACCCTTGCTCATTTCACATTCTCCCTTTCCGTCTCCCTCTCCCCACGATACTCACCGACCCACCAACACCTTTTATATTTTCACAGCAACGGAGCCAACCTCGTGATGAAGCTGGGTGCTTGGGCCTTCACAGGGTCGCACAGTCTCTTTGCCGAAGCCTTGCACTCCCTGGCTGACGTTACCAACCAGCTGATTCTCGCGTATGGTATTCACAAGTCCAAGCAGGTGAGTGAGGGGTGTTTATCATGTGTGAGAAAGGGAGTTTGCTACATAGAATGAATGATATGTGATAGGTAACTATATGTATACTTTTTTGGATGTGATGTTTTAAATCATTAAGTCTGTACTAGATTTTGAATTGCAGTTTTATCTCAAGAGTGGGAATTGTTGTTGATTTCTTAATGCAACATTTTGTAGTTGATATTTTAAAGTCATATTTTCTTGTTTTTAAGTAAAGATATCTTGGCACGTATTCATAGAATTTTAGTAGTTAAAGAAGTATTTGTTTTATATTTTGAGAAATAAACTGCCAAACTGAAATAGATATTTGACTAGGAATAGATTTCTAGGAACATGTTGAAGCTAAGTTAAAGATTTATTTCATTTCATGTTTTATTAAGTGCCGGTACTAAAATCATTGTTCATTGATTAGCTATTATGAACTAAGTTGACATTTTATCTGCTTGGTTTTAAAATGGTCTGTGAATTTCATCACATAAGTTATCTTGCCTGGCAACCTTAAGTATGGATTTGTAAACATTATATGCTGACTTAAATGCTGGGATAGAGTAGATAGTGAATTATGTTCTTTGAATACTATTTTTTGTTTAGTTTTTGTAAGATAATTTTTTTATAGTATTGAGCCCTTTTTCTCTCTGCAAAATTAAGCTAATCCATTAGTTTCTGTTCTCATGTTTCATAAAAACTTTCAATATGCCAGTATAGAAATTGCATATATTTATCTCTGGAAGAATACATTGTTCTCTCAACAAATATCCCAATATCCATTCCTACTACTATTCCTTCATATGAATATTACCTCCATTAGCGGGCTGACGTGATACACCCCTACGGCTACACAACCATGCGGTATGTGTCTTCCTTGATCTCTGGTGCGATGATCTTCTGTGTTGGGGCCGGCCTCTCCTTCCAGCATGGTATATCTGGACTCATGGCGCCCTCTGAGGTAGATGCAGCTCTCTTTATCTGTTTGTCTTTCTTTATCTGTTTAGTATAGTAGTTGTAGTTGATGTAAGTCTTGTTTATTATTGTGATATGTGCGTGGCTCATCATTCTTGTTATTTATGCATTCAGTATTTTGGTTCATTATTTCTGGTCCTTTTTTTTTATGTATTATTGTCATTTATGGTATCTTGCAGGTGTTGCCCCTTTATTGGGCTTTCTACATCTTAGGAGGCTCGCTTATTACGGAAGGAGGAACACTTCTCATGGCCGCTCATGCCATCAGGAAAGGGGCTCAGCAGCAGCAGATGTCCTTCACTGAGTATGGTGCGTCAATTCTGTAAATTTATTGAGTATTTATTAAGTTTATTAAGTTTTTTTTTTTTTTTCCTTTGTTGCTTTGTCATTCCTCTTATATATCTATATATTTTTTGTCAATATATCAAGACAGCATTGTGTCTTTGCCATATGTTTTTCTAAGCCTTCTTCTCCTCTCTCCTCCCCCTCCCACTGCAGTCCTACGCAGCCAAGACCCAAGCGTAAACGTGGTGCTTTTGGAGGACATGGCGGCGGTAATTGGGGTCAGCGTAGCAATGGCATGCATGGGCCTCACTTCAATCACTGGCTCGCACATCCCTGATGCCATTGGGTCGTGCCTGATTGGGGGCATCTTGGCCGGGGTTTCGGGATTCATAATCTACACCAATTCGGCCGCGTTGGTTGGGAAGTAAGTGGAGAAGACCAGTTTCTGGTTCTCTGTATTCTTTGGTTCCTTTGTTTAGTTTGTTTTATACTTTTTCACATTGAGAAATTGATTTGATTATGTAATTTTAAAGATGACTGTATGTAGTATTTGTCTTACAAAATTTAGTGCAGCTATTAACCCCTTAGATCCAGTTGCGTCACGGCAATCACATGACCAAAAATCTAGGCATTAGGCTTACGTGAGTGGCCGATCTGTTGGATGGTGGTTTGTAGGCCAGGCGCTTGTGAACATGTGACTCTATATCTCCTATTTGCAAAGTTATTTCCTCCATTTATCCAGAAGTGTTTTTAGCTTTTTTGCCATTTTCCAATTTCTGTAACAGCATCACTGGTCATGGCACCAAGAATATGGTGCTCAATATGGAAATGGCTTCCTGCATGGAGCCAGCGTTCTTCTAGTCACTGTTCACAGACATTACATTCCACACTCGTAAATCTTTAGGAATATGGCAGAATCACTAAGTCTAATATACTTCCCAAGAGGTTTGTGCACTCGTGGTGAGTCTTTCCCATCACCCTGGCCTTCAGCCAAAATGCTCACAACAGCAGGTTCGCGTCACTCAGCTTAAAACCAGATTTCCCTGTGACAACATATTCATGTCATCCATCCCCTCAAGCCAGATTTTTTCATGATGCGATGGTCACGTCACCCGGATCAAAGGGGTTAAAAGATAAGACTTTGTAAGTGCCTCGGCAACACACACCTCAAAGAAACCAAACCAAGCAACAGTCTCGATTCTTTGCCTAATTACACTAATCACGCAATTGCCCTCATTTCGCAGATCCATCCCCCAGTACCGGCTGGAGAAGATCAACGACGAGCTGGAGCGGGACGTGCTGATCCGTGCCATCTATGACGTCAAGGGCATTGACATGGGGACGGGGCTGGTGCGCTACAAGGCTGAGGTGGACTTTGACGGCAGGGAACTCACGCGGGGCTACCTCGACAAGCAAGACTTAGATGCAATCATGAAGGTAAGGGAGGAGGTTAGAATGATAATGCAAGGCTTGGATCTGCTACGAAGAAAGATTTTTTGGGTTAGATGATCAATCAGGTAGATGAGAGTTGTATAATAGATTATGTTGGATGCCGATGTGAAAGAAAACAAAACAGATGTGCTTCTTGGTGATCCAGAAGTTGAGTTTATTTTACTTAAACTCTTTTTGTAGTTATGGATGTTCATAACTTAATGTTTAACCCCTTGCCGAAGGGGATGGCATGTACGTACATGCCATGCTCACTGTGAGTCAACTTGTTTGATTGTTTTTACACATAGATGGCTACACTTGTACTAAGTCACCAGTGAGCCAATTACGAGTACTGCCTGTCTCGCCCGTTCACCCATTTCATCGATTTACAAAAATATCTAACATTACCCTAATTTGCTGTTAAAAATAACACCATCTATATTTATAGTACTAGTAAAAATACGTTTTTTCCCGCCAATTTAAGGAAAGGTGAAATCAGGACTAGCAGAGCCATCTATGTACAGAGATATTTCACAAAAATATTAAAAAATGTGAACAGCATTTTCCTCATTTTTTATCCATTTTCCCCGGCGGCAGTGGGTTAATGTGGGTAGAAGACATTTCACAAAACCGTTTTTTTCTCTTGTCCTCGCAGGAAATACAGGCCATAAAGACAGTCGATGAGGTGGAGGCCTTCATGTTAAAGCACGGCGAAAACATCGTGGACAGTCTGGGAGCGGAAGTTGATAGAATAGAGAAAACACTCAAGGTAAAGTGCTTTGGAAGTTTTGTTACTTACTTTGTATTTTTTCTTCATGTACTGTGTATTCTTCTTGATCCTTTTTCACTTTTAGGTTTACTCTATATTGTCATCTTCCTCTTTCACTTCCTCTTGTGTTCATCCTTATATACTTCCATTTACATCTGCTTTTCCTCCTTGTATAGTATTTGTAATTAATACAAAATCATATTTTGTTCAGCTCAACAACATTCAGTCAGCAGGCCATTCATTGTTAATGACACATAGCTCTATTATTTATTTATTTTTTATTTATATATCTTTTTCTTGTGATAGAGCTCTAAAGATTTTTTCCCTCAACAGAAAGCTCATCCTGAGATTCGTCACTGTGATTTAGAAATCCTGTAAGTAACAGTAGATTTCATCTGTGATCTTCAGCTTTAAGTCTTTGTGCTTCGGTAATACAGTGTAAATTTTTCTTAGGAGCCCAATGCAGCCACTACATTTGGGTACTATGCGTATAGTTTGACATTTTCCTGTCAGAAGGAGGAGGCAGCATGTTATTATCTTGCATCAGTCTGACAGCTGCGAAGTTCTGCATCCATGCCAGTAATATAGATGTATGAGTGTCTATATATTCCATTTTTGGTGTGTTATTTCAAAGCCTCCCTTTTTCTTTTGTATTCCCTGAAGATGAATTGTTACTATTGGTAATGTGTCTCAACAGATGGGGAGATTGTATACAATTTGTATCATAACTTGTATATGTATTTATAAGATAAAGAAGTCAGCAGAACATTGATCACCTGTTTTTCTTTTCTCTGTTATTCTTCAACATTGTTATTAGAAGCAGTATTCTTAATATATACTACATTTTAAGCTTGATCATGTTATCTATATATATATGTTTTCTTTTGACCAATTGTTCATCAAGAAAATTATTGATAGATT